TGTGAGACTAAGCCAAGTGTTAGCCCCAACCCTAACTGTTCCCGGAATTTAGCGCAAAATCAACTTATACCCGTGTATTGGTGAACTTCAGTCGCAATTGTAATGGCAGGAGGCCACATGGTTAATCCTGGTGAGCGCAGTACCTAGCTGAATACAGTGTACTACAAGTATGCGGCCGCAGCATGATTACGCTACTTATCCTGCACACAAAAATCCCTGTCCTTCCAACTCCCCCGCATAGCTTGCAGTACCGTCTTTATTTAGGCCGAAAAAGACTAGGGAGACTGGAATGGCCAATTTGGCTTAGTAGGCGTCACCGGTCAATCATACTTGACCCCAAGTAGTGCAACACTCGAGGCTCGAATCCACGACCCGTTGATAATAAGTCAAACACTCTAACCACAGAGCTACGGCCTTGACGCATTGTCGGTTTAGATCGAGGATATTGGAACTGCTGAATGAAGGCTCATTGATCGGTTAAAAGATTCACTCGGCCAGCTCTGCCTTGGGACACATTTTACAGACCCGGCAACCGAAGTATAGCGGTTAGTGCGAATGAGCCCCAAGGCATAACGGGCCAAGTGAGCCTCAGAGGCGATTGGTGAGCGTTCACCCCCAATGTTCTTCTTAGTTAACGAAATATAAATACAGAGAAGGCTGATTTAACGCCCACTTCGACGGAAATAAAGACATCAGCGCACAGGCAAAAGCCTCTCATAGTTTGAAGAAGTTTTCCTGCAAAAAACATGTAAAGGGTTAAAGAAATTTACTGACCAGTAACAACTGAAACCTCCGTTTTTATCTGAAAACCTGTGACACGGTGAATAAGGAACACAGCAAAGGGGTATGACAAGGGCCAAACGAACGTACACCATGTCCACCTGTAAGGCGAGATATGACGATGTTTTTGGCTTTCAAATCTGCCTTGAATTCCTTGCGTACCTCTTCGCGCTCCTTCTCTCGCGCAAGACTTTCCGCTGCAACAATTTGCTGGTCCAGTTCCACTGCTAACCGGCTTATGTCCTCTTGATGCCGCCGGCGTTCTCTGAAATGGGACATACTTCACGTTTAGCAGGAATGAGTGGGGGTTGAAAACCAGCATTCTGAACTCCATTCCAGGAAGTCAAGAGAGGTTAAGAACATGTTATGTAGGCCCATTGTGTTTAAGACACAATAGGTCGTATCTTGCTTATTATCATATAGCTACCCTAAGTAGCCTTTCATGCGTTTGAGTCTCCACTGCATCTCCAAATGGTTTCAGTTCTCGACATTCTTACTTTTTCAAAGATAGAAGCTAAACGATTTTGTGCCTTGTCGGTGCTTGCTTTACAACGCGTGCTGTGAGGATCGTCGGCTGTGTTATAGTGCAGCAGTGTCATCTGTAATGCGGGAGGGTAGTTTTAAGGTATAATTTGTTTTGGAAGAAGATGCTTATATATTTGTGGAAAACACACAATCTTCCGGGTTATTCTGCTTAAAAATAATGACTACTGCCTAGAATAACCAGGTATAGTTGGCTTTTGTGATTCAGTAACCATCGCTCGGACATTCTATAATTTTAATAGTTTATAATACGATCAAGTGACGATAATAATTCACTTAATCTGTACGTCATCAAATGCTGAATGTATAAATTAATAACAGTTATTAACACTCGGTGACGGTTTCGGGAAAGCAGTGGCTTAGCGGTTGCTAGCGCTTCGCTAGACACCTGGCAACACAATTGTTCCGAAACACCATTTTATGACATGTCTGCTGGTTTGTGAACTGAATAGCATACTTTAAAACAACGCTTCTTACTAACGACTACTTTTCAGCTTCATGTTTGTACTACTTACAGTTGTTTATCCTCCTTCCCAACGGCTATTACTACCATTTCTGTTTGACACGAGCATGTGGTTTCTTGTTGCGAGGCGGAATTATACAACCTACAGTTAAGTAACTGCAGAGCGGCAGAAAGGGTTCATGCCCAGCGGAAAGTTTGATTTCTAATGAGTGGCAGGAGGCCAGTAAGTAAAATTAACCGATCTAGACTGATTGATTGATAGAACAGATCCCCCAGTTCAGAAATGGCCGTTCCACGCTGCTTGCAAAGCGAAGCAAATGAACTTTATGTTGTTCTTTAAGCAGGTTAAATCGGTCAGGCCCAATTTGCACGTGATTATGGGCCTCGACGACCGCGTTCCGGTTCCTAACCTAATCCCGGACATTGAGAAATCAGAAGTCTAACGCAAAATTACAAATGGGGATTGTGAGTGAGCATGCATAACGGACGTTTCAGCCTAAGGAATAGGAACGTCGACCTTCTGGGCGTAGTAACGAACGATCCTAGGAACTATTAACCGAAATTCGAATATGCACTTTAGATTCAGAAAAGTTACTAAAGTCCAGTGGTGATATCGATTATCCTGTGGCATAATCGCATGACGATTAAGATATGTCGAGATTTTAACTTTTTAATGACCTGTTTCAGCTGCCTCCATAACTCACAATTAGTAAATTATGTCTACTTAATGACCCTATTAATTTAAATATACCTTAGAAGTAGCGGACACAAAATATGCACCCCTAGACTCATTTGATTTCATTCCCTATTTTTAACATTTTAAACCAAAAGAAAGATTATTTTTGTGATTTTTAAGACTGTATATTGTCTGTTTAGATCATGCAGCATATTTTCGAGTATTAATCGCCCTCATGCTGAAATTCAGTGAGCACAATATTGTACTTTCGTAACAAGTCAAATCAATGTATGATGTTAATGACACGAAATGTGTATAGCTCGAAGACTGTGAAAACTTAAAGCAAATGGAAAGATAGATGGGGTGGAAAATTAGTTGGGAATCGGAAAACATTTTAGAACTTCAATATTCACCTTTTTGTGTATCAGATTTAAGGAAGAGGTGATGGACTATTACATGAGTACAATAAAGAGAATTTTTCTCACGCTTTCCAGAAACTATATTTTAATTCATAAGAGCATTGTTAACCACAAACAGTCCCCGCGTATTAACTGCGGGTTTAGCGGACTCTACTAGTCCATACGCTCTAAAGTCCATATCCTTAAAGGTACGAAATACCTTTGGATTATGCTGGTGGGTAATGAGTAGTAAATTCTCACATGAGTACGTCTCCTAACAGAATTCCGATTAACCATTCAATAGCTTGGTTACTGACCATTCCTTCGGCTTTGAGGGTTGAAATTGCCTCAAAGTCCTTTGTATTCACGATTTTACTAACGGAATCTCAATCCAAGGGTGTAAACCGTTCGGGGAAAGTCACGATTCCGATTCAATGCGTCGTAAGTCTACCTGAAGTCCTTTATTGACGACATAACTCCTGTCTTTTAAAGGAAACGAAGCAAAACTTAACGTTTTCATACTTGCTTCATGGTGCAGAAATGAACTATAAGAAGTCCAGGGCACAACTCTTCACGAATGACTTATCTTCGAGGCAGATAAGTGGGCGTGGGAAGGCGATCGATTGAAGGGTGTGTCCCAAAGTGCAACTATTTGACACAAATTTTGTTTCTGGCACAGCACACTTTTCATGTATTTTCCGTTGTGGACATTGCGTTATAAATAGTTCTTATTGTTTGATTTGAGTCAAAATCTCACCAGCAGTCACTAAAACGAACTAAATATCAGGATGAAAGCATATGATCAATAATTGATATACTATGTGCAGTTAAGTCGTTATTTCATATTCGTTAACTGCTCCAATATCGTGCTGTTAATTTCGACTTAAAAAAATAAGGGGTACACGTGTAAAATATAACTTTTTTCAAATTTGCACTAAAATATTATGGAGGAAATCTTCATCTATCTCCATGTAGTCGGTCCAAGCTGTAAATCTTAATAAAACCGTCATCGAAATTTAATTTTCTGGCAATCTTTTAATATGATCATATTCTTCTTGAAGTGACCTTGATAGAAAGTTGAACGTGAGCTTTTTTCAGGTCAAAATGACGATATTTCACCCAATCGACTGTAACGTATACTCAAGCCTTACGGATGGGAAAGGTTAGTTATCCCGTAGAACTAAACTACTTGCAGTCCAAATTCGTATCAAATGTAATAACGGAGATATTGCAGCTACTTCTCTTGTCTATCTAATATTCCTCCTCTTAGTACTAATAAGATGAAGTATGCTTTTTAAGGTTTTAATGTCTGCCCTGCTAAGATTTTCAAGAAAACCAACTACGTAAGCCAAAATATATTATATCTGGTAATGAATCTGACTGTGGAACTTTTCCATACTTCATAATAACCAGACGAATGCCGCTTCAGAGTAGCTAGTAGTCATAGAAACGAACATTTTTGGGCGATAACTGTGAAGGGTACGGTTTAAACCATTGATTGCGAATTCCGAGATTGACTAAACAGGAATGCAAATAAAACTCACTCTACAATGGACTCTTCCATACGGGCGTTCTCCTCCCTCAGCCGGTAGACTTCAGCCAGTACGGCCGAGATAATGCGTTCGAAGAGATGTTTCAAGTTGTCTTCTCCGTTTGATAGGGAATTGTGAAGGATCTTGAATTCGTTGCCACTGGTAGAGTTAGAATTCAAAAAAGAACGATGGCAGAATTAAATGGCGTCAAGAAGTTCATGTAAGCCCCACTGCGGTGAAAAAAATGAGACTTAGTGAATAAAAAAGTCTAATGATTCGTCCAGAGTCTTCTGGGAGATGGCAAAGCATTTTCACATAATATGTCTCACCCCTGTTGCCTAGTTAATTACGGATGTTTTACTTCATGGTTCCCTAATTTAGGTGTCACTGCACGTGGCTTCAGTGAAATTTAAACAGCAATTTTCTCCATTACTTTCTGATATGCAACCTTTCAATCCAAAAGGTTGAGGAAAGTGTGCTGATTTTGTGACATATGCTACAACAGGTGATTTAGTGAGGCTGTATGTCATTTGTTTGCAAGTTGAACACAAATAAATGCAACCAGGCTACTACTCATATACATGGCAGCCTTAGCGGCGTCTTCATACGTTCTTCCGAATAAGTAGGGAGACTTTTGTTATGATGTTACAAAGTGGGCACACGCATAGAATATGTAAGACTGCCAAATATTTGAACCAATAATAAGAAAAGGCTTGCAACTAGCGGGTAAAACAGTTTACTAGATATCTTAGATCGTATGCGCTTTAAAATCCCGTCGAATAAGACATTATCTGCGAAGAAGAAATCTTATTTAGCTCAATTAAAAGAAAATTTCGAAGAATAAGCCTATTACTAATGCGAATATACCGGCGCTTACTTTACAGCCCACTACTTCGAACAAAAATATGCATAAGCCTGTTTTTGATAGATAAAAGCGTTACTCAGACTCCGGTTTGTAAACACATTTAATAAGGAGGATGAAGAGGGTTCAAAAACACGTTATTTTAGACAGAATTCAGTTGCGTTGTAAATAGATTGTAGTAAATATGGTTATGAGGAGATTAAAAACGTTTAACAATATTTTCTAAAAACAACTTAAGCCAAATATTTGACAGCTCGCCAAAGGATTAATGTATATAGGAGAAATTAAGAATTCGTTGATAGCCGCTAACCTTGCGTCAAGAATTAGCAACACTACACAATTTCCTCTTGCTGGTTAAAAACAGCCATTAAGAAGTAAAACTATAGTATAAATATTTTCCCTGCTGTATGAGCTTAATTGCACGAAGTATATCTCAGACAGCATTGAAAACAAAAATTTACACCATGACCAATACGAACTAAGGATGGGAACCAAAACGCACCAAGAGAGTTCTTCCCATTTTTAAATAAATATTTTTATTAATTGTGTCCATATCTCTATTAAGGAATTATGAACGGCAATGGGGTGGATGTACTTAGAAATATTTACTCTTACGGTGACCAAAGTGTTGAGAAAGAGCCATAGGTCAAATAAGGTCATACCTGAAAGTGTTTTTTTATCACTAGGCGAAAAATAGCTGTTTTGTTACGGTACATAACATATTTTCGTGAACTGTGGGAAAATCGGCTTTTATATACTAAAAAGTTTGCTTCGCCGAAGTTCCGTTTGCGCCTTAAAGACCTGTACACAATGTGCCAAATACGATAACTTCAGCGTTTTTATTATTTCGGAATCTGATCATTACCTAAGAATATATCACTGAGAACGAAATTTTCTGGGCCCTGTTCGGAAATTGACATGAATATCTGAAGCAAACTTCGCCGACCTACGTGGAATACCTGATAAATCTTTAAAAAAATACAGACAGCTGGTATTCTACATATTTTGTACGATATACAATAGTGAAGGTGCACTTTTCATCTGAAAGCTCTACTGTTATGTCACTACGAGACAAATGTGAAATGTTTGCTCATCAGTGGGTTCGTTCATGTTCCTCGTGGACCTTTTAGTAGATAGCGTTGGTTTAAAATGTTACCTTTTAATTTA